CCACCATTGTCTACAAGACTTTAAGTATGACATTGACTGCTGTTGCCCTAGGCCATGGCCCTCTGCAGAGTGTCTCTCTGTAGCAGTAACTTCTTGAGACATTTGCATATTTAAAGGACTGTTTAGATGTGCCTTCTCAGTCTGACAAAATAGGAAAAGCCACAATTACTGTTGGATTTTATGGTGGTTCATATTTAAGAAATGATGGTAGAAAGTGTCAACAGCAAACCTGCTGCCTGAGAAGCTCACAATGGGAAGAACAACAAGTTTTGTGCAAAATAAACCCCTGGGGAAATGACTCTGCTCTTTTGTAAAGGTGTTGCCAAGTCTTTTACACATTTTACCTGCAGCTCATCCATTGAGTGTTCTGCTATAAATAGTAGCTATAATTCACTGAAAAGGTTAACAATAAGTTTAGTCCACATCTTTCTTGTGTAACGACTAAGAATCTTTGATCAAGAATCCATGTTAACTTCATAGGATATTCAGAAGAAGAATAACTTGATGTGGTAGAATTCTTTCCAGTGTGATTTCAAATGTTTTCAGTTTCACCTCTAACTTCTGTTGCTTTAGGCTAGCTATTCATGGCAAATAAATATCTGGCTACTACTGTTTATGATAGTGGACCTGCATCTGAGTTGAAAGACCTTGTTAGCAGGCACTGTGATGAAGCTGAGGCTGGCAACCCTTAAGTCTTGATAAAGAACTAGGGCTGAAAGCGGGGAACTAGCAGTGGAGAAGATGGCCCATGGTTCAGTAAGCTGTTTAGGAGCTTATAACAGAGTGAGTTGGGAGTGTTCAGTATTAACTGGGACAATAGCTCAAAATAAATATGTCTCTACTTAAACATAGGCGCTCATATGATTAACTTACATAAACAAATAGTTATCATTGGTCGAGTGCCTACCACATACCAGGCAGAAGTAAGACTTTTGCATGTATGATCACACTTACTTATTGATTTAAAAAAAATGTTTATTTTATTTATTTATGCATAGAGGAACTGGAGTGTTGACCAGAGGAATGGTGTGTGTATGTGTGTGGGGGGTGTTGTGTGTGAGAGGATTTACCAGAGTGGGGAGTAGACTGGTGGATCTACTGATATATACTGCTGAGAAGAGCAGTGGGCATAGAGGTCTTCTTTGCTATGTGGGTCACCTCCCTGGCTGGGAATCAAACTCATGCTGCAGTGGCTGGTGCTAGCTGAGACTTTTTAACCCCTGCATCACCCAGGGAAATCCCTTTGTATTATCACATTTAAATTCTCATAAAATGCATGTTGTAAATAACTAATATTTATTAAACCATCATCATATGCCAGACTACTGACAATTTTACTTATCCATCTTATTTAACTTCACTGATGTCACTATTACTATTATACTTCCTAGCAACAAAAGAATCTGGGCTAAAGTCAGAGTGGGAAACATAACGTTGGCACACAGTGATAGCTGAGATTGACTTCTAAGGCTTGACCACGGAAACAATTTGCTGTACACTAGCTGAACTGATGACCATCATTTCATGTTTGAGAGACTGCAACTAACCTGCGCAAGGCTGTATGTGAGGAAATGATGGGAATTTAGGTGTATATCTCCCCAAGCTCTAGGAATGTTTTGCAAATGCATCAATTGCCTTCCTATTCTAGACAGTTTTGTTTATATATGTACTTCAACAATTTCCACATATAGTTTAAGCGGTTTTAGAAATTACAGAACAGGGGAAAATGGGAGATCTTGCTACTCTGAATGGAACCTGAATAATGCAGGATAGAGACCGAAGTTGGGCCAGTAAGTTATTTCATCCAAATCAACTGGGCTTGATTGGCACAGCCACTAGCACATTCATTTTCTTCTTTATTCTGTTCTGTATTTCCTAAATTTTCTACAACGAGCAAGTGCTACTTTTTAAAAAAAATGTTCACAGATAATACTAAATACCTTCTCATGTTAAACATTCAGCTACACACTGACCTTCCTTACTCCATTCCAGCCTTCTTTCCAGAGTTAGTCTCATTAAGAAGTATGAATCCTGGCCCTCCCTGGTGGTGCAGTGGGTTAAAGCACAGCACTGAGAATCTAAAGCCGCTTCCTCATGCCCGGAGGTGACCACATGGCGTGGCAGACCTCTCCTGACCCGCCCGCTGCTCCCCTCAGCAGTGTACTTCGTCGATCTGCCTATTCTGTTCCCCGCTCTGTCTCTGGTGAAGCCTCTCACCGCCCCTGAGCCTCTGGCCTGTACCCCAGTTCTGTATGCACAAATAAAATAAAATCTTAAAAAAAAAAAAGAAGTATGAATCCTTCTAGACCTACACTGTCCCATGAAGATGACACTACCCCTGTGGGGCATATGAAATGTCCTCCAAATGGAAATGTGCTGTGTAGCATAAAATACACACGAGATTTAAAGACTTGGTTTGAAGAGTGAAAAATAAGTCATGTAATTTTTATATTAATCACATGTTGAAATGATGATACTTTGGATATAATGGATTTAATTAAATATAATACCAAATTAATTTCACCTGACCTTTTTAAATCTAGCTACTGGAAAATGTGGTTCACATATTTCTATAGGACAACAGTGCTCTAGTGTATGGGTCTTTTTAGTATACTTACACACATAAACAAATACAGAAGTACAGATTTTTGATGCTTTCTATAATAAATACATAGTCTTTATATTTGAACTAAAACTATTTTTCATTAAAAAAAAGTATAATCTTTAAATCTATTGGGCAATCGGTGAATTCCTTTCTTCCCTTTCCCTACCCTGTTTTCAGCTCTCTCATACTTCCTGACAACCTCCAAAGCATCAGAGTGAAGAAAGTAATAGTTTTTCTTGGCCACAAAAATGCTAGAGTATACACACCTAATATTTAGATTGATTCAATAGAGGTGCAGAGTGACAAGTGTATTGATCTTCTCATTGGATAAAGAAAGTATTGGTCAATGGAGGGAAACTTTGGGTTTCATGGGGCCTTGATAAGAGACTTAGGAAACAGCTGTACTTGTCGATCTTGATCAACAGTAATTATTTTTAAAGTGGACTAAAAATTTCTACTCTTATCCTGTCATGTCATCTTTTTCTCAGATTTCTTTCTTTCTTTTTTTTTTTCCGCAGTAAGTATACTTTTATGTTGGTTGACAATACACTACTAATTGCTTTTCAAATTGGTCAATATTACCTGTAAATGACTGCCTCTGTTATACTACTGAATCCTGATAATTGAAAAAAAATACTGACATGTTAGATATGTGATCATTACTTTGCTAAGTTCTCATTAGTTGAAAATAATAGCTCTCATATGATTTATCTGGAAGATGTTAGTTTGTCCAAGTAATATATGAAAATGAAATGAGTTCAGCGGACTCTACAAGAGATGACCTCAAGTTTCCTTTTTTCTCCCACTTGAAAATGGGCTACATATACATAAACAATCTGCACAGACCACATGGGTGTATGCAAACTGGGCACACATGTACACATGCAGCATTCTTTGTTGGGATGGAAGGTTGTTAACTATGTACTAGCAGGGTCATAGCACATACAAAACCTTAATGGCTCAGCTTACGTGGCCTCAGTATAGATGCTCCTTGCAGGCAGAAGAGAGAAAAGAACATTAGGGGTGAGCAGAGGCGCTGTGATAGCTCATGTCCTTTCATGCCCTTCAGGTTTCTTAAGGCTCTGTTCATGTGTGCCCATCTCTGTGGTTACAGCAGCTTGATTGAAGTTGCTGTTGAAGGCTTATCCCTTAACTCACTCACTACTGCTCCAAGACAAGCTTCCCAATGAATAAAATGATTCATGGGTTGGGGAACTCCAGAATTTTCTTCTGGCTGGTGATTCCACATAACAAATCAAATTTTCCTAAAGTAGATGTCATGCGGACTCTATGCTGATAGGACTTTTGAAAAGGGATTCTTTTTCTCATTTTTCCTATCCATTTCTTTCCTTCATTCAAGGAAGAATGGGGGAAAAAATGCTAGATTAGGGTAATACAGGATTTTCTGGCCTTATTTGAAGGGCCATTTAAGGCAATCTTTTGCAACTTTAAGAAAATTCCCCCCTAATGAGGACTGACATATCTGAGTAGGTAATGTCTACTGTAGCAGCCCCATCCCTTCCTCCTGGGGTCTTGGCAGGTACAGGTAAGCAGGGACCTCTCTCCTTTCCCACACCCTTGCTGAGAAAGTTGCCATGAGCTCTCAGGCAGTACAGCAGGTAGGAAGTGGGGTGGGAGTGAGGGTGTCTCCACCCATTGGCAACTGCTTATGTAGTAGGCAAGGGAGCTTTTCCACAGAAAAAATCAGGTCAGCACATACTCCCAACCAATTTTCACCACATGCTACCCAGTTGTGGAATGAAATTAAAATGCTAAGACAGGTCCCAGACTGCCAATCCCCCCCCCTTTTTTTTTTGTTTATCTTGCAAAGAATAAAAAAAGAATACAGTGGGACTTGATGCTTTAAAAGGAATTATTAGGCAACTGAAAGAAAGTGAAGGCAGCACACAGCAAGAGAAGCTGTCTTCATGGAACATCATGTACCAGCGATTAAATGTCAAAAATCATCGTTGTCCTAGTGGTGATGTCTACACAGGCTTAGTAACTTGTTCCTTCAGCGCTACCCAAAAGACAAGCTTGACAGATTAGCAGGATCTTTGGGGAAGGGTGGTGGGTGGAGTGGGGAAAGGAGTGAAGAGTGAGGTCGTTTTTTAAAATGACTTCATTTTTTTTTTCCAAGAGAACCAATAATACAATAATATCACTTAATTTTTTTTTCTTTTTGCTACAGTCTGTTCTAGTGAATGTGAGGAGGAGGATGTTTTGCCAATATTTGCTAATGCTTTCCTTGTGAAAGAAATTTGACTCTTTCTTATGTTACTTTCATAACAGTCATTTACTATGGATTTAACAAGTGGGTTCATAATTTAATACATATATATATTCTTAAAAATACCTTTTATATTCCCTCAACAGTAGGAAAACAAATGATTACCTCTGTAAATGTGTTCCGATTAGCTTGCAAGCCAACTTTTACAACCTCGAAAGGGTTAACCACGATGGCTTCTGTTAGCCCCGATCCCAATCCAGCAATGGCAAATGTCTAGAAAAATTAAATCAATCAATACTTTAAAGCAAGTTATTATGTACACTGGGTTAAACATCCTTCTCATTACACCATGCAGCTGAATGTTATGATGAGAATGGAGAAACTTGCATAAATGTACCATATACCATTACTAAACAGCTTGGGCTCTTGATTAGATGCTGACAATTCATGAAGAAGAAATTACAGAAGCCACAAACCACATCCTAACAATTCAAAATAAAATGTCAAAGCCCCATCAACAATGACTTTTTTCTTTTAATGAAAAGAAAGGTTATTTTACTGATTCAAGGAGGATACAAAAACATCTGCACATGTAACAATTAAAAGAGAGTTTACTTGTAAAAGGAGAGCTTCATTTTTAAACATCTACTTAAATACATTTATTGAGCATATAAAAAATTCAAGGAGCAGAACCACAAATAAAATGTTTACAAAAAGCTAAATTTCAGGTAACCAAACAGTGTCACTGAAAACCTTTAAATGAACAGTCACGTTCTTAGAGTCACTATGCTAGACAATTAACAAAAATTATATATTTTTTCAGTTTTTCCCTGTTTAAAAAAAAATGGGCCTATTCTTCTACTTCTAGAAACTGAGTAATAAAGGCTGAGATCAGAAATGGTTAGGTTGTTTAGTTGAAAGATTCAACTAAAATTTAGAACACTTATCAAAAGATGACTAGATGTTAGACTAATTTGTTAGCTATTAAGAATTTCAATAGGAAAGACCAATTTTCTAAAATGTCCTCTTAGTAAAATGCTCAAGTCAGATTTTTCTGAAAATATGTATTAAAAACATAGCCATCTAAACATGCACACCAAGAAAAACAAAATGAAGCATAGCTGAAAAAAAGATGTCTTTAGTGCTGAAGCTCTAATTCCAAAAAAAGGTAGTTTTACTTTTATCTAAGGAAAGAAAGAAAACAGATAAAGAACATACAGCTTTTATTAGGAATCTCTATGTCTTCCAAGTAGGAGGCTAAAAGAGAAAAGGGAGAAAGGAATGTTTTATAACTTTACAAGGGGAGACAGGGGCTGTGAACCCAGGGAAGCCAAGCACATAGCTGATGCACAGGTAAAGGTGTGCTTGGAGGCTGAAACCTAGTCTGCATCCTACCTGTCAGGCATCTGACAGGAGCAAGAAGCACCTTTCATAATTCACACAGTGGCAACCTACGTGCTAGCTGCTGCTCTATCTCTAAATCACTCACCTTTTTATACGTCATGATATTCTCATCTGAATAATGGAGACAATATCTAATCTCCCTATCCATAATATTACTATATAATAATGCATAATGCATATAGGAAAGTCTTTATAAAGTGCTACCCAAAATCCAATGTTTTGTTGCACATAAAAATGGAGAGGAAAAATGGAATCACACACAGATTTCTAGGAGAGAGGGGACAACTAATGATGTTTTCTCTTCATTATGACTTAACATGTTTGTATAGTGTTATAGTCCACTATTTTATTCATTTATATCTCAGACTTCTATCATGGCAGCCAAAAGTGGAGGAAAAAAAGGACTAGTCCCAATCTCTTCTGACTTAGAAAACTAGAATCCAGATGTTTGGGGTTTTATTACTATATGCAACCTTCCAAGTAATTCACTTTTTTTGTTCTGCTATAAAACTCAGCTACATGTGCTGTCAGAATCAGTGTCCAGCAGTCCCTTGTCAAAAGAATTGATCAGCTATCAGTAGATCGTGTTACTTAGATTGTTCCAGAGACTGGCGTAACTATGGGGTTTCCAGTCTCCTGGCTTTTCATGAGAGAGCACAAGGGACATTTAATAGTTATTTAAGTGTCTAGCTATAGTGAAAAGAAACTGGGATAAATGAGTTCAAGGAAAGAAAAAAATGTATACACTTTGTGTGCATTTGGTTGCAGTAGTTGGCTGAGGCAAGGATGCTCTTCTGTTTCCATTCTCAGAGTGGAAAGAATGGCAATCACTGCTGGACACCATATTTTGTTGTCTCTCACTAGGAAGCTTTAAATCTTCTTTTTATCCAAAACACTTTAAAAATTAGGAGTGAAATGAAGGAATGATATTGAGGAAATTTTAAAAAATCTTAGCTAATTTTAGGAGTCATGCTACAATTTCCCCTTCGGTACGAGGTGAGCTTGTTTAGGCACGAGGTTTCTTTGCATAACACAAAACCAGATTATCAGATTTCTTAAAAGATTCCTTCCTGGACAATAGGGAAGGCATGATTTTAAAAATAATAGATGACTCTGCTTGGAGAGTCTATTGAGCAGAGCAAATATTCTAAAAGGAATCTTTACAAGTAAAATGATTACAGAGCTGGAACTCAAAACACTGCCTCACTGGTTGAGGTTTGAGGTACATTTCTGCTGGTACACTGAGGGATTTTCCTAGAGGCTGCAATTGAAGGGTGATTGCAGATTTTGTTATGTTTTGCTTTGTAGATTTACAGGGACATTGTACATTTGTACTTTTGGTGCACACATAATTGTAGGACCCCCTTGGTCCTTACAATTTAATGTGTTTTGTGAAGCGTGGCGAAGTTACCCAGAAGGAAAGAAGTGGCATCAGGAAATCTTCAAATCACCAAGTGATTTTCAGGTAATAGTTGAGTTATGTCATTGTGAGAGCAATACACCCTGACTACAAAAGGCCCTTCAGTCTTGTCTGACCACTGAAGGCCTATATTTATGGGAGCTGCACAAAGCAGGAAAAGTGACCAGTTATAAAATAATCTCAAGCATATTGACTTTTTCATAAGTAGATCTGAGCAGCATGTCTGTAAATACACACATGTTTTGGCTTTAAAAGAGTCTTTGACAAATACATTCTTTATTTTATATTCTTGACCATATCTTAAATGGATCTTTCCATACATATCATTATTATCATAAATTCATCACTGGGAGCTATAAAATAGTCAAATTGTGAGTTATTAGGAAGATGGCTTTCAACAAGTAGCTGAACATTGAATAACTTGAATTCATATTTTAGTAACTGGGCTTGGGGAATCAAAAGGGTTTTTGTTTCCAGATATTGCTTTATAAAATAACACCCACATTTAAGTATAATAAATACTCTCACTTACCAATGCTGGTGACAGTGACACATATCCTAGCAATTTCTTGTACTGCTCAAAGGTGAAAAACTGAAACAAAACCAAGCCCAGAGATTTATAACAATTTCCTGAAACAAACCCTTTAATTGACTCAAATTTCTTTAGTAAATCATTATATTAATCAGCATTTTAAAAAATGATAAAACATCCAATATAGCTTTTTAATCCAGTCTTGGGTAGTTGCTATTAGATTCTATTTTAACTTCCACATTTTCAAATGAAACTATAATAACCTACAGAAGAGTTGATGGGATCCTTTATAGCAGCAAATGAACCATACAGCTTCCATTTACCATGACCATTTTCAGTTTCCCCAGACATCAATAGACTTCTTTTTATGGCAGCCATTCAAAATTATAGGCACAGAGACCTGAAATACTTGGTCTTCTATGTTTTCTCCGTATCTGTTTTCCCAGTAAATACCCAATTTTCTAACTTATTTGTAAGAGATAGCTACTTCTCAGTTTAAGTTACATTATATGGTTGCATATCTCTATTATACCATAGAATTTCTGAATACTTGATGATGAAGATGTTGATAAACTAGGGAAGGACTGAAGGAGGCCACCTCTATCCCCAGCCTTAAAACCAGATTGACTTCAACTTGAAAGAAAGAAAACTGCTTATTCCTATTAAAATCCGAAGATAATGGTTTTGTTGATTCCTTTAGTATATGATGCTTAAAAGAAATTTATTTGCAAGTAGGTTCCTATGAAGGCAACCTAGTCATTTTCCTCAAATAATATGACCCAAGTATATTTTTTCCTTCTTTCTATATTCTATATCATTTGAGCATGATATTTTTTTTTAAGATTTATTTATTTATTCGTACAGAACTGGGGTACAGGCCAGAGATACGGAGGGTGAGAGGATCCACCAGGGACAGAGTGGGGAGCAGAACAGGCAGATCAACGAAGTACACTGCTGAGGGGAGCAGCGGGCGGGTCAGGAGAGGTCTGCCACGCCATGTGGATCTCCTCCAGGGCAGGCGGGGATCGAACTCATGCGGAAGTGGCTTTGGCTTCTTAGTGCAGTGCTTTAACCCGCTGCGCCACCAGGGAGGGCCTGAGCATGATATTTTTAATCCCAGGGATTGTAGTAGGCAGCTGCCAACATCACCCAGGAAATACACTCTTTTTTTTTTTTTTTAAAGATTTATTTATTTGTACATACAGAACTGGAGTACAGGCCAGAGGCTCAGGGGTGACAAGAGGCTTCACCAGAGACAGAGTGGGGATCAGAACAGGCAGATCGACAAAGTACACTGCTGAGGGGAGCAGCAGGTGGGTCAGGAGAGGTCTGCCACACCATGTGGTCACCTCCAGGGCAGGCAGGAATCGAACTCATGTGGAAGTGGCTTTAGCTTCTCAGTACTGTGGTTTAACCCACTGTGCCACCAGGATGGGCCCAGAAACACACTCTTTTTATAGGTCCTGCTGGAAAATTATTTTCATGACTCTCAAGTGGCATGATATTTGATGGCGCCAAATGTCTTTTACTTATCACTCAAGAAAATGGGACAAGAATAAATTATAAATCTGGATACCAGATAATATTTTTATTAGAAAGAGACAGTTTTGTGTCAATGTGGCACTAATGAGTCTTTGCACAACCCACGAGTTATTACATCACCAGATTAATTTTAATTGGTCAGACCCAGAATAACTTTTGTACCATAGTTCTGTAGATCCAATATGGATGTAGATTTTTCTAGAACAGGAACTCACCCAACAAATATTTACTGGTCGCCTCTTGTGTTCTCATCAGTGGAGATGCAGAAGTAAGCAAAGAGAAACTCCTGCCTTCTTGGCCTGATGTCCTAGTGGATGATAACCCCCTCTGTTTTGATAAGCTATGTACTAGAAACCACTAAGTATGATTTTAAAAAAGGATATGATCCTAAGCTTTCTTAATCATTTATATTTATTCTTCCTTTTTATGGTCATCACCACCATTATTCTTTGATAGTCATCTTCCTAGGACTTTAAGGGGAATAGCGTTGGGTCTGAATCCTTGCTATGCTACTTAGCTGTGAAAGTGTGGACAGGTTGCCTAACCTTTTTAATACGCAAAACTACAAAACTTACCTTTCAGAGTAGTCCTTAGTACAAGAATTTAAGGAAGATTTTCTGAGATGCCTGACATATAGGAGACTTTCGGAAAACCTTAGTTTTAATTAACATAGTTTCAATTAACATTTCCTTTCTATGATATGGAACCAGCGATGCCTCTGTGGCAAGTATCACTCATGACAGTCCAGGAAACATGCCACACCATTCACATGTGCTACTGTAACTAACCTACACAGTATCACCAGGGTGACAGATTACATAGTGCCATGAGAGACCCATTGTATACATCTGTTTTATAGTGAGTGGAAGGACTAAAATTTTCCCCTGAGTCTTCCATAGACTATGCATGCTTTTAACTCATTGCTGAGTCATTGTTAGTAGTTTTGGAAGAGATTCTCTGCCTTAGTGTTTTCTTGCTGCTAAGGCATTCTTGCTTTCTCTGAACCTGGAAACCCAGGGTTCCTTAACACAGAAGACTCCAAACTTTCTTTACCACAGTCTACATTTACCCAGTGCATGAACAGGAATGCTCGCAGCGAACACTTGTATTTATAAATGAAACCAAACGTTGTTATAAAACAATATTTATCTCCTTACTAAGTATAATTCACTCTGCTTCTGCTCCATTTCATTACCAAAATCTCTGGTCACCACTCACTACATTTACTGAACCATTAAATTGCTTTCATCACTCATGGGTCATGACCCATGTTTTGCAAATAGCTCTAAAGGGTGCTCATTGGGTCTGGGAGACAATGGGCCTCCAAGAGCCCTCGGCTACCTTGTAAGCTTCCAGCCTGTAGATGCCTGTCTCCTCCCTCCCTTCCTTCCTTCATTCCTTTTTCCTTCCTCTTACCCTCCTCCTTCCCCAACATTACAAGGATTAAGGACCAAACAGAGATCTCAAGGAAGAAGTCTGGGGACATGGACTTAGCAGGTCCCTCTAGCAATTTGACAGGGCATCCCAAGTCTACACCCTGGGAGTTATGGTAGGTTTTGCATCTTTTTTTTTTTCCTTAGCATTTTCTTTTATAAATTTATTTTCTTACATCACTGTTCATTTTGTGCAATATTTGATTTCTCCCCTCAGTTCCCCAACACTCAGGTGTAGTCCCTAAAGTTCTCCCACCACCACAGCACTGTGCTGTGAACCATCACCATAGTCCCTTGTGCTCTTGCCTCCCCTGTTTGGCCCCATCTCCCCCTACCCTCCCCTGCTGTGTGCCTCACTTCTATGGTCAATTTGAAAGTTTTGTCTTTTTCCTGACACTTTGTTCAGTTTCCTGTATTTCTCCTATAAGTGAAATCATTTGCTATTCCTCTCTTTCCTTCTGACTTATTTTACTTAGCATAAAATGCAGTGTTGGCCCTCTCTGGTGGCACAGAGGGTTAAAGCACAGCACTAAGAAGCTTTAGCCACTTCCGCATGAGTTTGATTCCCGCCTGCCCCGGAGGTGACCACATGGCGTGGCAGACCTATTCTGACCCGCCCGCTGCTCCCCTCAGCAGTGTACTTCGTCGATCTGCCTGTTCTGCTCCCCACTCT